TGAATAATGTTTGTCTTAGGTAATTATCTATAGAATTGTAACTGTTTATTATTGTACAAAGGTCTGATCCTAAAATGCTATTTAAGAGCATGCAGGCATCATGCTGCATCAGTCTGCAACTTTAAATAACCTTTTTAGGATTATATTGCTATGGTTTCCACTCCTGTATATAATGAAGAATATCAAAATTATAATCATATGTGCGTATGTTGGGTTCAAACAATATTAATAATCCAGTCTTAATAAATGTACTAATATGCATATTTCTGCCTCTTTAAGGGAAAAATGGTGACCTTAAGAGTCAAATTGACAAGCTTTGGAAAGAGGTAAATGCGCTGAAAGAAATGCAAGCCTTACAAACAGGTAAGTTCTGGCGTGATTTTCTTTCACCTCCAGAAAAGGCTGTGAGAAGCATCCTTTCTCCATGATCTATTTTTTAATTGCTACCTGGGCTTAACTACCGGTAGAGTTTTAATACGGGGAAGGGGAGGAGACTATGGCAAATATGATTTCATTTCCTGTTGCACTAAAAGCCATTCATACTGTGGGATGCTGAAAGGTGATTTAAAATACCCTTGAAGCATCCCTGGTCTGGGATTTATTGGCTAAGCACAGAGCGGACTTTACTTTGGCAGATTGCAAGATTAAATCAATGGAGGCTACAGAACTTGCATTCCATGAACAGCCAAGGAGACTTCTATTTCCTGCTAGTTCTGCCCACTCTGATGTCAATATAGAGACACTTCTTTTCTTTTGTGGTGTACTGTGAAGCCAGTGAGGTCTACCAGAAGGGGCTCCTTTTTTTCAAGCTGAAATAGTACAAATAAAACTCCCAAGTTGCTTTCATCTCCTCCACCCCTTCTACACTGCCTTCAAGACCAAATCTTCTAACAGAGGAATAACATGACTCTGTAGATTTACAGAAATTTAAAAAAAAAAAAAAAGATTTACAGAAGGATGGAGACTCAATGTATGTTTTGCAGGCTGAGCAGGCTTGATGTCATCTGCTCCAAACCTTTCATCTTCGGTGCTCAAAAGGACCTCTGATCCCCCCAGTATCATATTTAATTTCTTAACAATATCTCTGGGTCCATAATGTCAATCTGCTCTTTTTTTTAAGAAGCAAGATATAGCCAGGACTTTATTTGGAAATATGCTCACTTGCTTGGCAATATAGAGGAGATAAACTGGGGAAATATATAGCATCTGAATGTAGTCATTAATTATTTCTTCATGCATTTCCCTTCCTTCCTCTCCCACCTTCAATCCTGGCAAACAGAGGATAAGCATTACTCTGTTCACATAATACACTTAAAGTGAATATTGAACTAATTTATTTTCTGGGTTCATACTGTCCATTGAAGCATAAAATAACCCAACAGTTTGGGTTTACCTAGTATACTAAGCCAAAAAATCCTAACTGAAATTGACATTCCAAAGTAAATATGTTGTGAATGAAGCTATTAAGTCTTTTAACCATGCTTAAATTCCATTTGTGAATGGAGCCTGCAACTAGTTAAGTAATCAGGAAGAATTTCCTGAAAATAATGGAACAGTCTATCTACAGAGTTATGGGTTCTCCATCTCTGAATGTGTTTTTTTTTAAAAAAGAGACTAGACAGTACTTTTCATGAATGGTTTAATTGGTTCCTCCAATGGTTTAATTGGTTTTTCTCTTTTCTATATGATGATTCTGAGATAATTACCTTTTATCATGGTGATGGAAGAGTAATTAAAATGTTCAGGGGATTAGAGATCAGATTACAACTAGTGAGTGTTTTTAACTTGGTGGAGGGAAATGACTTCAATGTATAAAAAGTATAGTTAGGACAATGGAAAATATTTTTTATTGTACAATGATGAAGCAAAAATGAAGGAGATTTGGAAGGGCCAAAAGGAAGCACTTTTTGATGACAGTGGTTCAAGGAAAAAAGAACCGTGATGTTACTATCCCGGGCAGCTTTAAAATGGGCAAAAATATGCCTTCTATCCCAAGAAGGCCACATATTCATAAAATTGTGTGTGGCTCAATAACCACTTGGCTCCTGTTGGAGTCTGAATCTGAGGAGAAAGACGAACAGCTGACAGGGAGTGGGATTGTGGCTCCGTTGGCTGTGGAGGAAACTGGGGAAAGGCAAAGTCCGGCTGGGCAAAGCAGGGGAGAGGTAGAGGAAGGCAGAGGGAGTTCAGAGGAAGACCCAGGCCCACTCCCTCTTCATCCTAAGGCACGCAGGGAAGAACAGAGAAGAGAGCAATGTGGGCTGCATGGCTTACAGGGGAGGAAAGGGCCCTGATTCCCTTCATTAGCCACAACTGGGAAGAAAGTTTAAAAGAGATGCATGCTGAGTGCGGCAGCTGCTGGGAGCAAATGTGAATATCTTGTGTTGACTTTGGTTATCTGTGTTCCTGGCATCTTCTCAACTGTGTGGAGTTATTGCTGTGCCTTCATGTGCCTGGAATTCTTGCTCCTGCCCTGCCAGACTAATTACCTCATTTTGCCTTGATTGGACTTATATTTACAGTTTTTGTTGACCATGTTTTGGATTTGATTCTCTGCAGCCAAAGGCTGTTCCTGGGAGAGTTTTTCTACAGTCAGAAGGTAACGAGGACATTGGGGGCAAAATTTGAGTTAATAAAGGGACTCCTACTGATTATCTGAATGTGTTGCCTTTGTGCCACACCCCGGGTCATCACAGACTTAGCAATGGAAATTTTGGTACCAATCATGGTTGTAAGTTGAGGACTCTCTCTATTCTCTGTGTGTTTTTCATTCCATTCACAGTCTGCCTTCGTGGAACAAAGATCCACAAGAAATGCTACCTGGTCTCTGAAGGTGCAAAACATTTCCATGAAGCCAACGAAGACTGCATAGCCAAAGGTGGAACCCTTGCTATTCCCAGAGATGGAGATGAAACCACAGCCCTAAGAGAGTACAGCAAGAAGGGCTTACCAGGGGTGGCAGAGTTTTGGCTCGGTGTCACTGACATGGTAAATGAGGGAAAATTTGTGGACGTCAACGGAATGGTCTTGAACTACTTCAACTGGGACCGTTCACAACCCAATGGCGGGAAGCGTGAGAACTGTGTCTTGTTTTCTCAACCAGGTCAAGGAAAATGGGTGGATGATGTCTGCCGTACTGTTAAACATTACATTTGTGAATTCCTGATCCCTTAGTCCTCTTTTGAGACTCGCCAACTTTGAGGGAAATATCTATTGCAAATTTTGGGATTGAAGTTCTTAGCTGCTCATTCAGCCACTAGTTGGAGAAAGCAAAATAGAATGATTACAGATAGGCAGTTGAGTTGCAGTTTCTGGAGTTTTACTAGCCTGCTGTTTGAACATGGATTTGATGGGCCTTGAACTGTAGCAGACTTGCTCCTAAGATCCCTTGTCTAGTTAGAGTGAGATACGTTCAGCTTTGTTTAATTAAACCAGTGAGATACATTCTGCTTCCAGATAATGGTCTTCTTCTCATTACATTAGTTTGCTTCTGATTCATTGTAATTTTCTCTAGTTACTTAAATCTCTCTTCTCCACCCCAGCTCAAATTGTACAATCTGGCTCTTGATCTGAATCTTGACTGACCCTATTTCTTGGGAAATGAATTGATATCTTGGTTAAACACTTTGGTTTGATCCACTCACTGTCCCATCAATCTAATGAAGATTATAATGCTGCATTGTCCTTGAAAGGACAGTATAACATTTGTAGAATATTTTACTTTTAAAGTCCAAGTTTAAGGTCTTTACTTTCTTGTTTTATTGGAACCAGGGAAAGATTTCTAATGTTTGAGATAGATTTTCACCTGTAGAAATGAATGTTTAAAATTATTGTACAAAACAAATTTTGTAGTATTGAATAGCATCTTAAGTTGTCAAGCAATAGATAATAGTAGATCTGGACAACCCTTGCCTCTGAAGTGTAATCTCCCAACATGCTTTACTGCTAGCACAGATAGATCTTTTTCTATAAACTTCATAAAATTTAATAAAGTTATTTTCAACAGCATTTATTTTTTGGTTTGTTTTTTTATTTTTAAGATTTATATGGTTGTCTACCTTAAATATTTGGAGTTTCTCACAATCACACTAAAACCAATAGTCATAAAATAGGAAAATGATTAAACCAAAACCCTTTGAGCTCTGACTCTCTCTCCCTCCCTCCCTCCTCCTTCCCCCCTTCCTCCCTCCCCCTCTCTCTCCCCCTTCCATGCACATGTTAAATAAATCAGTTGAAATTATATAATAGCAATTTCATTTTTAATCTTGCTTTATTCCTTAAAGTTCCTTCACCTTAACCATATCCTTAGAAAATCTTGCAACAAGCCCCAGTTACTCTCCTTCTATTTTATTCCTTTCCACTTTATTCTTGGTAAAAAGCCAAGCTGCAGCTATGAGTTGGTGTGGCGTGCATAAAATTGCATCCAGGATATTCATAAGAAGTCTTAACGGTGATGGCTGGGTTTAATCAAATACAGAGATAAGGCTGTACCACAACATGTTGTACCATGAACTACAAATTTCATTTTAACCTAATCTAGAATGTTGTGTGAAAACAATTGGAATCGTTGCACTTGATGAGCTAATCCAGGCTGATTACGTCCATAAGTCTGTGTTTGCACATTATGCTTAAGTGGGTTTAAGATATGAAGGCTACTTTGGCACAGTTGGCTCAGCTGGGTTGATTTTAAGCCTGTTTAGTTACTTTATCACTTACTGTGTGGTGTGAACTCAACTGATGGGGTTAATTTACAGCTTATTATAATGGTGTGAGCCCAGAACATGAGTCAGTTCAGTAGTCAGGTCAGGAATAGTGTGTGTTTGGGTCTCCCTACCTATTCCCTTTTCAGAAGCTCAAACTGGTAGGTGCCTCCTTAAGAAGCTACAAAGTCAGGTTTTGACTTCTTGCCTTCCTCAAAGGAACAATGATAAGGTAAGCTCAATAGGCACACCAGGGAATTAAAACCTGGCCGGGTGGAATAGCCCATAACTCAGCTGCAAATGCAGGGCAATGGCCTGGAGACTTCAGAGTTTGAGCACCTGTTGGCGGAGATCGGGCTGAGTACATTGCTGGCCTTGGCGCTATTCGTGGTGGTGAAGCTAAGTGTGGATGCCATGCGCCGCAGCAGAGCAAAGGTCTCAGTGTTGGTGGTGGGCGCTGGCCCGGTGGGACTGACAGCTGCCCTGGTTGCTGTCCGCTCGGGCAAGGTGCTGAAGCTGACACTGCTGGACATGTGTCCCCGTGCCACCCTCCTGTGCCGGTCCCAGCAGATCGCCCTCGACCCCCGCAGCGTCCGATTCCTGTTGAGGCTGGGGGTGGACTTTGGCAACCTGGAAGGCTGCTGGGAGAAGGGGCATTTCTTCACCAAGCTGGGCATCTTCCAGGAGCAGCTGCTTAGCATTCTGGAGCAGTACACGAGGCAAGTGGCTCTCCGGATCTTGCTGGGAACCAAGGTGAGTGAGGGGGAGGAGGCCATCCAAACAAAGATAGAATAGATGTCTCTGAGCATTTGTGCATGTCTCTCTCCACCCCATTTGTAGACCAGTTTGATGGCCAGTCATTGCAGAGATCCTGCTGTTAGAAGATACTGTAGGAGGACAATCTCTTGATGACTGAGGGTTGCACATAAACAGGAGATGAACATGTATCATATGCAGTTGGTTGAGGAGCCTCAAAACATGAACTCTGTGGCCACAGTTGTCCATCCTTATTTTGGTGGGGTGGGGTGGGGGAAGAGAGGATATTATATTGTACTGTATAGCTTCTGACTAAGTTGATGCCCTTGGTCCAGCCAACCAGTCAACCTTGCTGGTTTAGAAGTTCTTTAAAAAGTTTCACAATATTTACTGGGCTCTGCTATCCCAGTTTCCCTGGTATTTCTTCTCAGTGTAAATCAGGGGTCACCAACCTTTTGGACCTCAGGGGCAACTAAATTCATAATTTTAAATCCCGTGGATCACTAATATGATCTGCCTAATGACCGGCTGGGTGGGCATTGCCAACTCGATGTCACTTATATTGAGGGGTGCCTTGCCGGCCTCTACATAGGTTTTCCAAGCAGAGGGAAGACCTACAGGAGTGCAAGGCCAGGTACCCGCACCTGGAGGCTCAGTGGGCTGAGATGGTCAGCCAGTTCTTGGCCATGATGCAGTCTAGTAGAACAAGGTCCTCCAGCTCTTCGCCACCAGCGGCACTTCCCTTCAGCCTTCAGCCTTCGCACAAAGCCCTGCACCGGGAGGCTGAAGCAGACCCTAAGTCAGAATTTCTGCCTCCTGACCTTCACAAAAGACCCCAAAGGTGGAGACGCTCTGCAGCAACACAAATGTTCATTGCACGTATCCAACCCAGAGGACGTAGTTTGAGGACTCCTGATTTAGTGCAATATAAAAAATGCAAATAATTTTTCTGTGGACAACCAAAATTTTCTCGCGGACCACCAGTGGTCCACAGACCACCAGTTGGTGACTGCTGGTGTAAATCATCTTTTGAGGAAGGAAACATGCTTGTTCATTTATTTTTGGGAAAAGAGTTTGGGATATTCCAATTGAAAAGTATAACAAGGCTACAGTATCTCTTAGAATGTTTACATCCTGTCTTAAGCAAAGTCCTGTTTAAAGTACAGAAATAAACACGCATGCTTAATTTAATTACACATTATGTTAATTCTTCCCAAACCTAAACAAATTCCATGCTGTTTTAAAAATAAAAATAAGCATAACATTTACGATTCTCACTTCATGAATTAAGTCTGTTTCGTTCAAAAGTACATCCAGGATATGACAACTTGCTTTCTTTATCAGGCATAAAATTTGACAGGTCCAGGGAGACTTCTATGATTAAGTAATATTAACCTGGTATTGAGACAATCTATAAACTGGAACAGTTAATTATTGTTGTACATATTTAGACAGATAAATGGCTCCATAAATGAAACCCAAACAAAGGGTATTTGGCTATGATTAAAACACACATGTACTCTAAGGAAAGCTTTGTTGGCTTACAATTAAAGTTCAGTATAAGAACCAGTAATAAAAAGACTTTCCCTTAATTGTTGTATAAAACCTGCGTGAGGGAAAAATATATTATTTTTCATTCTGCGTTGGAGAAATCTAATTTTTCCATTTTTGGTGGAGGGGATTTGAAAATATATTTTTCATTTGGGTTGATTTGTTGTTTCTGTTTACATCTTGGCAAGACAGAACCATAATATTCCCAAACTGTATTTTTGGGGGATTATATGTGAAATGTGGGTCAAGCTTTGTCTTTCCGTCTCTTCTTTAGTTCTCAATTGAATTTTTAAAAAAGGATTTAGTGTCTAATTGGCCAAAGATCATTGTCTTAGCTGATGGAACCTGTGGTGAATCAAGTGTAATCCTTGGAATCAACCCAGAATACACTGTGGAATCTTGCAATGCTTATGGAGCAAATGCAGTGATGGAGAGACCTGATCAACGACAGGTAATCATAAACAAGGAATGTTCTTTGGTACTTAATAGATTCTGTAGGGTTGATAAAAATTGGTTCAAAGTAGAAGTAGAATCAGAATTATGGACTTGGATAGTACTGTATAGATCATCAACGGTGCTTTTCAATGCAGTGCAGTATTCGTTGAAGTATTTCTCACATCAGTGGCAGTTTGGGGCAATGGTTGATAGCTGGTACAGTTATGAATTAATATTTAATCTGGATCTTCTTCCTCATAGTTATAACCTAATAATTCTGCTCCTGCTCTCTTGGAAATAGCAAATTATGAATTGTGGGGTTATTCTGAACCATATTTCAGAAAAATTATACTTGAACCCATGTAGCTCCATCAGAATGGAGCTGATTTGAATAGATTCAGAATCCAAAATTACGTTCATATACAAAGGTGGACAAATCAGTCTCCATGAAGAAAAATACAACAATCTTTGTATGCAGAAGCTACTCAACTTCAATATAAATATCAATCCATATTTTTAAAAGTTCAGGCAGCAGGAGTAGGACACCATTAGCTAGAGTGGGTTCTTTCATTATTTAATAAATGCCACATTTCTGAAATTGAAAAAAAATAATCAACTTTCAAAATAATGCCTTTCTTGCTTTGGGTGGTATAGATTAGATATTATATTGCAGTGGTTAGTGTTAAGCCTGAAATTTCCACTCGCTCCTGAAGTGTCTTAGAGAAATGTTGAGTTATATGATTCTGTTCTCTTTCAAACTATCCTGCATTACAGGATTGTTATGAGGATATAATGAGATGTGGGGAGGCAGTCTTAAACTCAGAAAGCAAAGCAGGCTATAACAATATACAAACATGCAATTGACTTCTGTTTCTTCTCCCTTTTGGAAACCACAGGTGCCAACTCCAGAGATCCGTGCTCATAATTTGTACTTTGATCTCTCTGCTTATGGCATGGATAAATTAGCCATAAAAACAGAATTTCCAAAAACCGCATTCCATCTCAAAATCCATGGCACATTCCGCAATCGTTGTTTGGCTTTGGCTTGTCCTGCTTCTGACTCCAAGATTATAAAGTTCCTACATCATACCCTCAATTCTACTGTGAGTATCTAGTGCAACTGTTTTGCTCTCAGCACCAAAGAGATAAAATACTTTTTTTATGATCATGTCATCTGTGGAGGTACTATCTATTTTCCAATTTTAAGTGTATAGTATCCTGGCCGCGTATCATTAAACATTCAATCTCTTTTGTATATTCACCTTTAGTTATTCCTAGTAAAAACATTTCAGGGTGCCATCTTTGGGTACCATCTTCAGACTTATTTCCTGTAACCAGATCTTTATCTTATTCCAAAATTCCTTCACGTTTGGGCAGGTCCACCATATGTGAAAGAAAGTACCGGGTTTCTTTTTACATTTCCAACATTCTGGTTTTAAATTTGAATAAATTTTAGCCAATCTCACCAGTTTCTAAGGTCAACAGCTGAAGCCAAGGTAGGGAATTTCAAAAATTCCAGAAGTCCAGACAGCAAACTGTACTGCAGGGACCAAACACAACAGCACTTAAATAGACAGACCATCTTTATGTAAACTAAGCCTTAGAGAAATTGCTGTGTTGTTACAATATTTAACAATGTGAATCTATAGGTAGTCCTGGATTTAATGACCGTTTATAGTTACAATGGCAATGAAAAAAAATAACATGACTATTTTCTATACTTATGACCATTGCAGCACCTGCATTTTCAGATGCTTGGCCACTGGCTCATATTTATGATGTTTGCACGTCCTGGAGTCATGTAACCACTTTTTGTGACCATCTGACAAGCAAAGCCACATTCACTTAACCTCTGTGCTATTAACATAATAACTGCAGTGATTCGCTTAACAATTGTGGCAAAAAAGATAATAAAATGGGGCAAAACTCACTTCACAAATGTCTCGCTTAGCAACATAAATTTTGGGCTTAATTGTGGTTTTAAGTCGAGGACTATCTGCATATGAAACATCTCTGTTGTAAGTAGGTACAGGGTCCCTCTGCCTACACTTCAGGACTCAGGATCCTGTCCTCCAAGTTAAGTATCTATATTCCCAGCAGTTGGGAATATAGCCTATTACTTTATCTTAGACTGTGGTGGTGCAGTGGTTAGAATGCAATACTGCAGGGCCAACTCATTGCTCACTCCGGCAGTTCAATTCTCACTGGCTCAAGGTTGACTCAGCCTTCCATCCTTCCGAGGTGGGTAAAATGAGGACCCAGATTGTTGGGGGCAATAGGCTGACTCTGTAAATTGCTTAGAGAGAGCTGTAAATGGGATATAAATCTAAGTCTAAATGATATTGCTATTGCTATCTGGAGATGCCTTCAAGACCTGAAAAGACCTAACTCATGGGAGAGAAGTCTAACTTCCCTCAGCTAGAAGTTTTAACTTTATCTTGTCACGCAAACTTCAGGGAACGATCCATTTACTGTATAGATTTGAAGTCACACACACACACACACACACATAATAGGTTATAGATTGCATCAATCCATTTTGATTTATTCAATATACCATGGTTGAGCATACTTGCTGCATTTGTGTTTTGTCAACTGTCAAATCCTGAGGTCTTTAACATGTCTTGTGATGGTGAACAAAACAGTGTCTTCTGTGAAGAAGTCAACTTGAATCAATGATCAACCCTTTGGGCATGCCCAACATAAATGTGTTGTGTTTTCTGCACCCAGGGGAAATCATTTCAGGAAATGTGGTTGCCCTCAGGGCACTTATGCTTTTGGGCCTGGCTTTCTCTTGCTAACAGATAATGAAAAGTATCTTCCAGCAGTCTTTCAATGCTTATAAGATGGACATTGAGCCACGAATTGGGGAAAAAATGCTCCATTGTATCCGGTGCAGTCACCGACTCTTTGAAATTGTGCTGTCCCATCGACGGGTCACAACTGCTTTCCTTGCGGAGGACAATATTGTGGTCACTGTTGAAGGTGAAGCAGCCAGAATGCTGAATTTTGACACAGGTCAGATTTTCTGTCTAATAACCAATGGATTATACATTTATTTATATATCAAATGTAGAAACCACCTATCTCCCTCACAGGGCAATTCCAGGTGGTATACAAGTAAAATGTTAAAGACATACATGTTAGGTATAAAAGATCAGGTCCACACATGAAAGTCAAATTAAACTGATTTATTGCTAAAAAAAAAAAAAAAAGCACAGGTATCAATTAATGGTTAATACCTGCTAGGAATCAAATAAGGGTCAATAGGAATTCAAGGGAGGTTGGATTAGTTTGCTATGTAGAATACTGCTGTCATGACAACTCTAATTCTTCTTTTCTTTTCTTTTGTGACTAAACACTATAGTTATAATTACACAGAGGTGGGAGGGGTTGATTGCTTTTTAATATATTATTGTGTAATATTTTTCTTTCCTTGAGCTTTTATGTAAGGAAAATTGTTTGCTTTTGTTTGCTGGTCTCCACTGTAGTTGGTTAATGAGGACTACCCATACTTCCAAAAAACCTCTTTTGAGTGGGAATTTGGGATCCCCATATTTTTTTACACAGCCTACCAGTCTCTATAAATACAGCTCATATTGACCACAGCATTAATTACAATCTTTGGTTGTCTGTACTGAAAATAATGCTTGCCAGCTAAAGAAAATAACTATTGGCTATCTTGGAACATGACAGAAGCATTGGTCCATTCTGAAAATAACAAAAAAAAAAAAAAATCTCTATTTTTCCTTTCTTTTTTCAACTCACTCTGTGGCAGGCTGTGGAGTTAATCTTGGTCTGAAAGGTTTGGAGTCAATGGAAGAATTGATTTATAAGGTGGCCACCGCTGTGGATCATCAGGATATTTTTAAGGCCCTGGCAGCTAAAATCCAGCATTCCAGACAAGTGGTTGAAGATTTTAAGCAGAATGGATTATCTGCTACCATGTTTGAATGATCAGATCGGAGGACAGTTGAGATGCAGAGATTGATGGCCATTTTGCCTTTTTCTGCACATCAAGAAAGAGGAGAGGCTTTTCTTTGGATTTTAGGAAGAAGAAGAAGAAGAAAAATACAAGCAGAATCAACACACTTAATTATGATTAAGATTTTCATCAGATCAGACACATAAATTCAAATTTAATTTAGAAAAATTACAGGGCTTTGGGTATGCACCTCCCTGGATTTTATTCCCCAAACCACAGGTCTGTGTTATGTTTTGGAAAAGTAATACAGACACTCTTTTATCAAGGGTGAATTTAAACCCAGGTCTTTTGTTACTTAATATTTCATACTTTTGATCTGGGGGAGAACTCTTATCATTTTACCCTAATAACACCCATCATTACAGAATTGGATGTCCCAAGCAAATAATTCCATTCCATTCCATTAGGTGCTGCTTTGATACCATTCTGTAGGAGTAAGTCACTTTTAATGCAAAAATATGCATCTCTGTATGTTTCCCTAAGTGCCTGCCCAGCTCCTAATTTCCTCTGATTTTGATTTTTAAAATCCTTTTGATTAAATGAAAAAAATAAATAAATAAGGAGGGAGTTGCTATTTTCTTATTTTTATCTTCAGTAATGCCTTAGACAAAGAAAGGTGAAAACTATGCCGAAATGAAAAACATATTGTTAAAAAAAGTTTTTTTTAAAAAAAATGAGTAGGACTCCCTTAAACGATGGCGCTGCTCTGCAATAGCAATTGTCTCAATTGTGCTTGTAAAAGTCAAGAACAACCTGTAGCCACTTTGAATACACTTTCAATACACGAAAACAAAATGGTTTTATTTCTGTGCTTGCATTGAACTATTCTACTTTGTAAATAAATATATAACCTTGGGAATCTAGGACTATTCCACTACATTTGTTTGTAGGCCGCACCATCTGGTGGCATCCTCTGTTATTACATTTCTTCTGCTATATTTTCATCCCTGCTGCTATGTGTCAGTGTAAAACAAAACGTTATCGGTAAAATCGGAGGAACTTAAGGCGAAGGAAATAAATAAATTATTTATTGTTTACAGCTTGTCTTTCCTCTTGTTGCTCAAACCTACACACACACACACACAGTTTTTCCCCATCTTAAACCCTTAACTGCAGCCTGTGAGATGGATTGGGACTAGATTAAAGTAGACTAGATGAGTTGGAAGGGACCTTGGAGGTCTCCTAGTCCAGCCCCCTGCTTCAGGCAGGAAACCCTATTCCATTTCAGACAAATTAGACCATTTCAGATAAATAAAGAAAGTGACTGGCACCTATCTCTTCCAAAGAATTAACCAGTACACTACATTTAGAATATTGATAACTTTTCTAGTAAACTATGCCTCAGAGGGATGAAGAAAATGCTCTCAGGCTTGCAAAAACTCTATTATAACTGTCACCCCATAATAAAGGTAAAATGGTGGGTGCTTCTTGCCTGGACTATCTCCAAGGGGCTGATAACATGCAGAGCCAAAAACTCACCCCACTCCAACTGTTGACAGTCAGTCAAGGAAGAAATCCCATCAATGACTACTTCCTACCCGGCAATGACTATTTCAGCTTCAACCACAACAATACACGAGCACACAATAGATACAAACTCAATGTAAACCGCACCAAAACTCAATTGCAGGAAATACGACTTCAGCAACAGAGTGGTCAATGCCTGGAATGTTCTACCTGGCTCTGTGGTTTTTTCCACTAATCCCAAACACTTTAACCTCAGACTGTCTATTGTTGACCTCACCCCATTCCTAAGAGGTCTGTAAGGGGTGTGCATAAGTGCACCTCCCTGTCTTGATGTTCCCTTTTATTTGTATCTATTTCATGTATTCATAATCATGTTTATACTTATATATATTATCAAATGCATGCTTGACAAATGAAAAAACAAATCTGATGCCCCATTGTAAGAACTGCATAAGTGCACAATCGTGCCTACCCTCCCTGTCCTATTGTCCCCATTCATTACCTATTTCCTGTATTCTTACTCATGTTTATACTTATACCTATTACCTTGTAAGCGATTGACAAATCATACACATAAATAAAATAAAATAAATAAATAAAACTCAGCCACCGCAGTCTGTCCACCCAGGGTTGTGCCTGGCTGCCTCGTGCAATCTCTACCAACTAGGTTTTTTGTTTTTTTGTTTTTGCACCACAACATCTGTATAAATTTAATCTTTTATTTTCTTGGTTATTTGTGTGGTCAAATGGGAACATTTAAAACTATTACAAAGTCTGCACTATTATTACTGTAATTCTTGTCATCACTCCTTATCACCCATCCCCTCCCATTTCTGACTGTATGACTGTAACTTTGTTGCTTGTATCCTAATGATTTATATTGACTATTTCCTTGTATGATTTGATTGCTTATTGTACCCTATGACTATCATTAAGTGTTGTACCTGATGATTCTTGACTCTTGACAAATATATCTTTTCTTTTATGTACACTGAGAGCATATGCACCAAGACAAATTCCTTGTGTGTCCAGTCACACTTGGCTAATAAAGTATTCTCTCTCTATCCTCTAAAACCTCCTTCAATTTAAGGCCTGCTGTTTTGAAACAGGCTAGGACCCTTCTGAGACGTTTGAAAAGTTCTTCTTTGTTGCAAGCAGAAATGTGCATGTCATCGAAGTAGGGCACCACCCCCAGGATGCCCTTGAAGCCGTCTCTCTATCAGGCATCCCACCTTCGTCGCCATTAAATTCTTTCTAAGAATGAGCTGAGACAGGCATTGATGAACGAAACAATGTTTATTGTAAATGAAAACAATATTTATTGTAACAAACTAACAGGTTACCGGAGTCTGCCAATATGCTGCCAAATTGGCCAGCTGACGGGTAACAGCTGATGCCATCTGACAGCTCCCTTTTATAGTTTGTGGTCAGGCTGCTCAGCCAATCAGAACAAACAAAGCTCCCGCTAAAATGCGGACCAACAAATAGAACTTCTGTAGAACACAATAATATAGACTGTTTCCTAGTATGATTTGATTGCTTATTGTACCCTATGACTATCATTAACCTTATGATTCTCGACTCCTGACGAATGTATCTTTGCTTTTATGTCTACTGAGAGTATTTACACCAAGACAAAGTCCTTGTGTGTCCAATCACACTTGGCCAATAAAGTATTCTCTCTCTATTCTTTAAAACCTGTAACGTACATAACTCAGTGAAAATTGCTTTTCATTTTTAAGAGACTGCAGATTTTCAAGCAGGGACGTGAAAAAGCATTAAGAATATAACTTTGTGTACAAGATGAAATCATCACCTGCAGGACGAGAGCCGCGCGCGCGGCAGCCGCAGCCACAACAACAACAACAACACCATCAGCAGCGAGGCTTCCCGGTCAGCTGGTTTGATTTTCCCCCACGTGCGTTTGGCAAGCCGGAGACTCCATTTCCCAGCGAGCCCCGCGGCCTCCCGGTCCAGGGATTGGAAGGGGCCCGGCGGAAAGGGGCGTCTCTTCCGGGCGGTGGGAAGGGGCTGCGCCTGTCCGGTGAGCGAGGCGGGAGCGCAGGTGGCTTTTCAAGGGAGCGCAGCGCAGAGGAGGGCATGGCGGCGCTGAAGTTTGCCGGGCTGGACGACACGGACAGCGAGGAGGAGCTGCCGCCCGGCTGGGAGGAGCGCACCACCAAGGACGGTTGGGTCTACTACGCCAAGTGAGCCCCCGCAGCATCCTTTGGGGGAGGGGGGCGCTGGAGAGGGTGGGATGGAGGGGCGCAGAGGGGGAGGAGGAGGAGGAGGAAGAGGGGAAGAGCTGGGAAAAAAGGAGGCTATTGCATCGCTCTAGGGGTGCAGGAATACAAAGAGGGGATGCACGAAGCCCACCCATCTTTTGTGTGTGTGTGTGTGTGGGGAGTTTGCAGGTAGGCTAAGGGAGGAGTAGAAGACGGCGGGGGCTGCAGAGGGGGCTCCCAATGGGAGGAAGAGGAGGAGGAGGATGGGAGCTGGGAAAAAGGGGTTTTTACTTCGCTCTTGGGGTTCAGGAAGCCCACCCTCCTTTTGGGAGGGTAAGGGAGGGGACGCAGGAGATGCTGCTTTGATGCTTCCTCAGAGCCAGAGTTGCAAAGTGTCAGGTTGACAAGCCCATTTGCCAGCTGTTTCCTGTGGGTGGAGTTTGTGGGAGGTGGGGCTGTGGAACTTAACTTTTATCCTGACTTTATTATTATTGTTGTTTTTTGTATGTTGTCGATTTATACTGACTGTTTCGTAGTGTGATTTCATTGCCTGTTTGCACCCTATTAAGTGTTGTATCTTATGATTCTTGATGAATATACTTTATCGTTTCTTTTTATGTACACTGAGATCATATGCACCAAAGACAAATTCCTTGTGTGTCTAATCACACTTGGCCAATAAAAAATTGATTCATTCATTAAGGTGGCAAACCTTGCTAAGAATTTGCAGGGACTTGTCCAGACATTGCTATTAGTCTAAAACTGATTAGAAGGTACATACTGTATACACACAGAGACAAATCCTGGTGGATCTTCATTGTGAATTTTTTTTAAAAGTTATGTTTTCCAATTCTTTCAGTCATTTGGAGGAGAGAACTCAATGGGATCATCCAAAATCTGGGAAACGGAAAAGAGTCGCTGGAGGTTTGTATTCAATTGATTTTATTTTTTAAATCTTTCTGTACCACCCATCTCCTTCAGAAAGGGATTCCACAAAGGGAGAAAACAAAAACCTTCAGGGAAAAGTTGCTAGTAATTCTTATATAACCAAGAACAAGTTATTTGATTTATTTTAATATTGTGTTGCTACATAAGCACTTCAGAGTTGGTCTTTATGCATTTTAGCTTTAAATATCTACAATCCAGAATTACAGCAGAGTAAAATTAGTTGTCAGGACTTCAGCAGTTACCCCAATTAAATCTTGAGTCTCGAGCCAAACTTCCAAAACTTCAAAAGGATTTATTGGGAGTTAACATGTCCGGCACTGCCTGGGTGTAGCTGACTCTGAGACACATAATTCATTGTCACCCTTGACCCTGGTTTTCCCCCACCCCCTGGGTGTATCATAATTCATATTCTCCAATGAGAGACAATGTTCTCCAATTAGATATCTGTGCGGCAGAAACTTCAGTTGCCTAGTTACTATCTTTGAAAAACTATGGAATGCACTTGCGATTTCCAAGCTGCCGCACTGTTCTTTCAAACCACTTTCCCCCTCCCTTTCTGTTGGCAACTCTAAAAAGACCATAGAAATATTTGATGAGTTGACATTAGTATTGATTTTGGATCTTCCAGTGTGGATGCCTTTAAAAGAACTGAGTCTTGAGATACAGACATGCAGAAGACTAGTATGGTTTTAGATATTGGGGCTGGCATCTAACATGTTAGCATTAGCGGTACTTTTCTCCCCAGGATCTTTAAAAAAAATAACTAAAAAGCCAATCTCCACTAAAGAAACACTGCCAAAATAAATAAATAAATAAATACATACATACATACATAAATAAATAAATAAATAAATACATACATACATACATACATATTATTTTGAAAATTTATATAGCCACCTACTCGCTCACTGTTACAGAGTAACCATGAGCGAGTAGGTGTCTATATAATTTTTTTCAATATATAAATAAACAAATCCAATAAAACAAAATATTATACTTGCCTGTATGACTTGATCTGGAATAAGTCCCATGGTGTAGATTGTGAATTTATTCTGAACGGAAGGAGGATAAATGGGGTTTGCAGAAATTCTCTAAACAAATCCACCAGCAATATTTCCGTAGATTACATTCAGATGTCCCTCCTTCCGTCTCTGCTCAGAATAATTATATCTGAGACCCCATGGAAGAAGACAATCCTTGCTCATGCTGGCTGAAGGAAGAGACCTCCAACCAGCATTGGCCTGATCTGGTAGAATATCCAAGTAGAAGCTTCTTAGAATCCAGAATTTTCAAGAGGTTTTAATTTTGTTTTATTTTTTTTATTTATTTGATTTGTCAAATGCTTACCATATAATAGAAATAAGATTAAACATAAGTATAAACACATGAAATAGGTACAAATAATTGGGGACAATAGGACAGGGACGGTAGGCATGATTGTGCGCTTATGCACACCCCTTACAGACCTCTTAGGAAAGGGGTGAGGTCAATAGTGGATAGTTTAAGATTAAAGGAGTGGGGGTTTGAGGATGTGACAACAGAGTCAGGTAGTGAGTTCCAGACATGGACCACTCTGTTGCTGAAATGGTACTTCCTGCAATCAAGTTTGGAGTGGTTTTCATTAAATTTATATTTGTTGTGTGCTCTTGTGTTGTTGTTGTTAAAGCTGAAATATTCATTAACTGGTAAGACGTTGTAACATATGATTTTATGTACTATGCTTAAGTCCAATCTTAGCCAGCATAGTTCAAGGTTGTCTAAGCACTCTTCTTGTAAAATACTTTTGGATTAGCTCAGGTTGGAGAAGCTAAAAGATGTTGCTTTTCTATGACACCAGCTCTCATCCTACAATGACTAAAGAAACATGCTCCTCTTGCGTGATTTGATGTATTCAGGCACTGCAGATTACTCACTTTTGACTTAGAAAACCTTGTGCAGATGGCTTGTTTTGTGTGTACTCAGAACAAAATATCAGTTACATGGTTACAAGCAGGAAGAGTGGAAACATTGTTAGCGAGTGGAAACATTTCTTGTTTTTGTTGGTTCTCCAATACCCTGTGTATGTGTATGTGTTTTTTTTACCCTATTCTATTCCAAACAACAAAGACATTTAGGCCTATTCCTCGAACTGATACAAGATTTAAACTGAAGCATCTTTTGTTTCTCCTTCTAGACTTACCGTATGGATGGGAACAGGAGACAGATGAAAATGGACAAGTCTATTTTGTGGAGTAAGTTGGAATTTTTTTGTATGCTTTTGAGGGATGAAGAGGCTGGGTAAGGCCTTAGACTAGGACAGGAGCCTCCAAGCTTGGCAACTTTAAGGCTTGTGGACTCCAACTCCCAGAATTCCTCAGCTAGACAAATCTTAAAGTTGGCAAATTTGGAGACCCCTGGACTAGGATGAGGGAAGACCTAAATTATCTTGTTATGGAATGTACTGGAGACAATTGGGCCTGTGCTTCTCCCTCAAACCTACCTTGTTCATTGGATGGTTGTAGAGGAAATGGGAGAAAACTACATCCTCTCAGGCAAGGTACACATACATCCATTAATTCACGTGTTGACTGTGGTTATGTTTTGTGTTTAATTGAGTTTTTAGTAGTGGTTTTAGTTGGGACTGGATCTTTGCTCCTTTATATTGTTTTGTTCTTTCTGCTTTTCATTGTCACGAGCTGTCAGAATTGTATGTACATGAAATGGACAGTATACACATTGAATAAATAAGCAGATTTATTGCTTGCTGTAGTCACAGGAAGTGATAGTGCAGGGTCTGCATAAAAATAAGGATGTTTTAGAAAACGACAGTCCTGGATTTAAATAGGTTGCCCTCCATATAGAAAAAGCAGGATGAAAGAGCACATGTGTGTGTGTTTTTCTCCTATGCACTTGGAGGTATGACAGTTATAAGAGACTGTAGTCTAGAGAGCTGGTAAGATTGCCTGTAATGTTGTTTCCCCCCCTCTACAAATCAAGTTTAAGCTTGGCAAGTTTAAGACTTGTGGACTTCAACTCCTAGAATTCCTGAGCTAACCTGACTGGAAGAGGAATACTGGGAGCTGAAGTCCACAAGTCTTAAAGCTTTGAAGACCCCTGCTATAAATTGAACTCTGATTTAACTTTTGTATGTATATCTTTCGGCATTGTTTGGTTTTATTGCAATGCAATGGGTTTATTCAATATTAAAAATCTGTCGTGAAGTGCTACAGGCGCTCTGGAGAAAGAGCGATGTAGTAGCAAACACATTTTTTTAAAAAAAAAAACTGATAACTTTCATTATAGGTCATACATTTAGAGAGTTCAGGACTAAGTTCTAGAGTAGATACTTTTGCAGAAATTCTTATGTCTGTTGTTGTCATTCGGCAAGGCATGGGAAGGCCTTGGTCCAGTTACTATGACAGCTGTTACCAGAGTAAATCTTGATAGTTGATAAAGTAACTGAGTATAAAGTTATTTCAAATATGCCATTAAATTTTTCTTGCTTTGCAAAACACAGAGGTTGCATGGCTAGAAATTTGATTTAGCTTTCAATTGATTAAAGGTAAAGGTTCCCCTCACACATGTGTGCTAGTCGTTTCCGGCTCTGTATTCATCTCCCTTACAAAGCCGAAGAGCCAGCGCTGTTCGAAGAAATCTCTGTGGTCATGTGGCCGGCATGACTAAACACCAAAGGTGCACAGAATGCTGTTACCTTCCCACCAAAGTGGTCCCTATTTTTCTATTTGTATTTTTACATGCTTTCGAACTGCTAGGTTGGCAGAAGCTGGGACAAAGAACGGGAGCTCACTCCGTTACACAGTGCTAGGGATTCGAACTGCCGAACTGCCGACCTTTCTGATCAACAAGCTCAGCATCTTAGCCACTGAGCCACCACGTCCCTGTTCAATTGATCAGGAGATACTTATTCATAATCATAGATTTAAGAACTAGTTACAACTCACTTGGGGTGAATTAATCAGGGAAATAGAAGATTTTAGGTTTAGTACCCATCCGCTAGGAGCAATAGAGGAAACCCTGAAGAGAAGTTATTTCTTTTTTATGTTTTAAATTGCCCCAAGTTATATACCGCTTTTTAAAAATTCATACTTCATGTTTCCAGAAGTTACTTTTAAAACCTATTACTGCCTTAAAGTGTTTTTTTTACTGCAAATAACTGTTTTCCCCCAATAAAAAACCCTTCCAAATAAGTTTGTATTGTGATAGTGTAGAGAATGAGATAACCATAAGGAAGGAATGTAGTGGCTGTTAATGGAGGAGAAATAATTTATCATGAGAAAGAGAAAGATTGAAGAAAAAACCCTCAAAATATTGCATTGATTCTCTCTTTGACATAAGAAAGAATAAAGAAAAATTAGCAAGCGTTAACAGGTATGTTACTCTACCCTACAACAATCAAATAGCATTCCTATAATTATTGTGTTACCAGTTTCATGACTGGGCTTACCTTGAAAACTGACAGCTCAACAATCTCTAAGATTAAAGTAACATTTTAAATGTAAATGTAGGATTGCCTAAGCTTTAACAAGCTGCTTTCATTTATTAAGGTTTCTTCAAGAGCTCAGCATTTTTCTTGCAGTCCTAAAGGTGCCTTTTCAAGAGGCAACTGGACTTTCTGTTTTTTTTTATTTGAAGACATTTTGCTTCTCATCCAAGAAGCTTCTTCAGTTCTGAGAGCTGGAGAAGCTTCGTGAATGACAAGCGAAACGTCTTCAAAGAAAAACCAAGAAGTCCAGTTGCCTCTTTAAAAAAAAAAAAAAAAAGCATCTTTGGGACAATCATAACCTGGATGACAGAATCTCCATAGACCCATTTCTTGCGGATTTTCTCCTTTTCTCCTCACACCATTCTTTCAGGATGGCTAATGGTGGCTTGGTTTCTACATTGCACATTGCCACATGGTCTGTTTTAACCTTGGCTTGCATGACTGACCTGACAGGCTTTGGGCATGATTGGGTGTACAGGTAGTCCTCAACTTACGAACACAGTTGAGCCCCAAATTTATGTTGCTAAGTGAGAAATTGGTAAAAGTGAGCTTTGCCCCATTTTACGACTTTTCTTGCCACCTTTGTTAAAGTGAATCTCTGCTGTTGTTAAGTTAGTAACACGGTTGTTGAGTGAATCTGGTTTCCCCATTGACGTGACCCCGGGACACCATCATAAATGTGAGTCAGTTGTCCAGCATCTGAATGTAAATCATAGGAGATGCTGCCATGGTAATAAGTGTGAAAAACATTCATAAGTCACTTTTTCCAGTGCCGTTGTAACTTTGAACGTCACTACACGAATGGTGTAAGCTGAGGACTACTTGTGTTCACACACTAAGCCTTCAATTATGGAAAACTGAGCTAACACATTATGCTAAACCAAAATTATGCTGTGGTTTAGTGCAGTGGTGGCTAACCTTTTGGGGCTCCTGTGCCGATAATTGTGTGCGTGCTTGCGTGCCAGCACCCAGAAGGCAATGCGCTCGAGTCCCCTCCATGCCCCCTGCGTGGGCATGTGTTACCTCCCTGCATGCGCTGTGTGTCTGTGCATGCATGCACAACCCCCGGGCACCGCATACCTCTCTGCATGCGTGAGCAATCCCCCTGTATGTGCCGCGCATCTCTGTGCATGCGTGCGCATCACCCCTGCACCCCCCGTGCATGCACACCAGATACCCGATAATCAGTTGCTCTGGGTGAGGGCTTGCATGCCAGCAGTAATGGCTCTGCGTGCAGGGGTGGGATTCTACCCGTTCGTACCTATTCGCTAGAACCGGTTGTTAACGTTCTAAGCAGTCGGAGAACCGGTTGTTAGAAGAAATTTCTGGCCTAATCCTGTAAGGAAGGCAGGGAGGAAACATTCTGGTGTTGCTTACAGAAACTGCCTCTCCGTTAACCCTTATTACATTCTTGGCAGCACTAGACTTCCTGTTTCTGGAACTTCTCTGGAGTTTTCCCCCCCTCCTTTGCTGGTACTTTGCTTGTGTAGAGTGACCATTCAAAGTTACAATGGCACTGAAAAAAGCGACTTATGACCATTTTTCACACTTACGACTGTTGCAGCATCCCCACAATCGTGAGAGGCCAGGTGAGGAGATGCGTGCCTCGATGTGAGTGATATTGAGTTGGCCACACCCAGCCAGTCACATGACCACCAAGCCATGTCCACCACCTAAGCCACGCCCACAGAACCGGTTGTTAAACAATTTGAATCCCACCCCTGTCTGCGTGCCACTTCCGGCATGCATGCCATCACGGGATTAGTGTAATCATGAGATGACCCACAATTGACCAAAACAAGCTTCAAAAGCGAATGGACATTTAGATCTAAGTTGTCGCAGAAGTCGTCCAGTGCTTTTTAAACATACTTTATTGCTTTGACCAGGTTTGCTCTGATTTCATAGCAAAGAGGGAGAGAAGGTGAGCTAAAAAAACAGCTTGTTGGAATAAGACTTAAGGCCCATATGGTCAATTTAGAATGAAAATAAGTCAGCAGAGAGGGAAGAAAAATGGTCTAGTATAAGTTACAATAGTAGGTGTTAAATATTAGGAAGACATTCCACTCACCATGTTTGTTAATACAACAGGTTGTGTTTATTATTTAAAAAAAACCCCATATAATAGTAACAGTGTAAATATTATAATTTAAATGGCAACATAAAAATGTCAACTACTTTTTTCCCCAAAGAAATGTTAACTGTGATCTTTTTGAACTGTAACAGAACAAGAAACAAATCCTCTTAAAAGTATTTGCGTTTACTTTCTATTAAAAGTAACCACAAAGAAAAGATATGTAACACTATTTGGCAGTGTCTGTTGTTGATTAAATCCGGTGCTGATGCATTCTGTTAAGATGAAGTAAGAGTGCAGTCCTTTTTTTTTCTTTTACTTTTTTGCATATTTCTGTGTGCCTTTATAACAGACATTGGGTTTGCCGGTGTATGCTGAAATTATTAATTACTTTCTTCTGCCTTGCTGTGAAGAAGGATTAAGAAGTTGCATTCCAAGGCAAAACAATAAATTCATGAAATCCAGGACAAGTCTTTAAAAATATTAAAAGTGATGAAGTGCTGATTTCAAAGACTAAGCAAAAAATAAATGTGTCCTGGTGCTTTTTTTAGAAAAAGAATCTGGAAGGGTGACTGTGAAGCATTCTTTTAAAGGAGGTCATCCTACAGCTTAGAAGTGTCACAAAAAAAGTTCTTTTTTCCTTAGGTTTGTGGGAATGGGCCTTTGAAAGTGGAGAGATTCTGAAACGGCAGCCAGATTTTCCCATTTTCCTATTGGACGTAACCAGGCCAAAAACTTAAATAATCTATTGTATATTATACTAATAGAAGAGAATATTTGTAGCTCAGGATTGAATTGTGGGGGTTCTTGGTACTCTGAACTTGGCTTTTTTCTTGCAAATGTTTCATTACCCTATTAGGTAAAATCAGTGCCCTGATGATATTACCTACTTGGGTAATGAAATGTCTGTGAGAAAACATCCAGGCTCAGAGAGCACCAGACCCTTCATTTCAACCCTGAGCATCAAACATTCTCCTTTATTCATTTAGACTATTCTTTTCGCATATTTTAAAAAGGAATTTACTCATATACTCTATAAATAGTGGCACAGTATTTGGAATGCAGAGGTAAGAATGCAGTATTGCAGGCTAACTGTGCCCACTGCCAAGAGTTCGATCCTGATGGGATTCAAGGTTGACTCAGCCTTCCATCCTTCCGAGGTTGGTAAAATGAGGACCCAGATTGTTCAGGGAAAAATGGTGTAAACCACTTAGGGCTGTAAAGCACTGTGAAGCGGTACATAAATCTAAAGTGCTATTGCTGTATGATCTAACTCTACACCCTGAGAAAGCCACACCTGAGTTTTATCCAAATGAGAATCTTTTGCGTTGCAATGTGAAAGCTGACTTGTTAAACAGCTTTAAGAAATGAGGCAGTCCTGCTGGAAATTTAGAAACATTTTCACACACTCTGAAAGGTTTCTCCACATAGGAGCTGTGTAGCATAAGGAAGACTTGTGTTCATGTAAGTAGTTACTCTGTTTGCTTTGATTTAACTAAGAATGGATATCCTAAAGTGACAACTGGATTTTTAGATCATGCAAAGAGATGTGTGATTAGAGGTTTCCTATGAAGTTTCTTTTTTAGTTTCGCCTTTCAGGAACTAATTGTATTTTTAATCATTTTTGTTTACTCATACTGCATTTATACCAAGACCTCTTCTGAAAAATTGCAAGATGGCTGTTCTTGATATAATTCTTATACTGTAGATAGCTGATCTTTTTCTGACAGTTAGAACAATTAATCAGTGGGATGGCTTGCCTCTAGAAGTTATGGGTGCTGCAACACTTTTAAAGAAGAGATTGGACAGCCATTTGTCTGAAATGGTATAAGGTTTCCTGATAGAGCAGGTGTTTGAACTAGAAGATGTCTGATGTTCCTTCCAATTCTGTTATTCTATCTTTATGAAGCAGAGTCAGTAAGAATCAAAGACTCTCATCATTTAATTTTGCATTACTTCTCAGAACTATGAAACTTCACTTTATTTTTTAGCCCTTAGGCCATATCAGTGCAGAGTTCCAGACACAAATAATTACTAAAATCTGATAAAACCAATTTAAAACGGAATTGGATAAAATACAGTTTAAAATGAAATTGGAATAAAATACAGTAACAATAGATAGATAAATAAAATATGATAAAATTATATTTCAGTATCACTCCTACAATCTATCTCAATCAGTGCCACATATGTCGATCTCAACTGAACCATTTTGCATAAGTACTGTGCTCTGTTAAATGTTATTTTCAGATTCTGGCCGCACATAAGGTAAGTTGTTTTGATAAAGGGGATCCCAATGGGTCATTTGTTTGGTATATCGACTGAGATACCTGTCTTTCACCCTCTTACACAGGCAACAGTCAAATAGGATGTGAGCCAGGTCTTCTACCTCTGCCCCTCCACAAATGCAGAGACATCCATTGTAGGGTATAGAATGGTATGAAACTTTAAAAAACCTGATTGAGCTGGTATCTTCAATGTGATAGAAATGGCTCTCTTGATTGCTTCAAGGTTGAGTTTACGTGTAGATGTATGGCCATGGAGCTGTGTGCGTGGTAATAAAATGAGGTATTGACATGGAAAAATGCTTCTTGTTTTCCTTCAAAGCCATATAAACAAGAGGACCACATACCTTGATCCCAGAATGGCATTCACCGTGGAAGATAATCCCATGAAAACCAACACGAAGCAGAAATATGATGGCAACACCACAGCAATGGAAATATTAGAAGGCCGAGATTTGAGTGGCAAGGTGATCATAATCACAGGAGCAAATGCAGGAATAGGTAGGTCACTGCTGCAGCTAACCCTTCATTCAACCAGCATTGAGTGTGGAACCTTCCTTCCTTCTTCCCTCCCTCCTTCCCTTATTCAGTGTATGCATGTAGGATCCAAATCCGAACATTTTTTCAGGTGAAGTGTAGGTGTGCTTGCTGTATCTGTCTATAGCATGTTAAAAGTGCTTGCCTTGATTTCACACCCACTTGTGAGGCTAAGGTTTATTTCAGGAGCCGCTGATAGGTACTGTAAATGTAGCCATAATTGCATATAAACCACATTTCATGGTCACCTGGATACTGCCCTCTTCTGGCTGATAATCTAAACTTTATTCAATAAAATAATCTCATTAGTTTCAACTTTAGATGCCAGGATTATTTATCTGCATGGGAACTTGCTTTCTTAATTACTAGCTTTTTAAACCACTGGAATATTTTTTTATTTTATTGGGGAATGAAGTGCAGAAGTAAGGTTGTCTTGTGATAGTGGCAAATATCTATATCTTGGATGTAGGATGAAGGTGGCAAGTTTGTCCTCTGAGCAAACATGGAGAACAAACCTCCACCCTCAGTAAAGTTGTCTACTAAAAGAAGAAATGAGGGAATCTTGTTCTTGCTTGGCGTTTAAATAAGGAACATTCTAGATTATTTAAACTCTCTAACCTAGTGCCATTTCAATATGTCAGCCCTCAGTGTTTCCACCCCACGGGAGGTATTATGGTTCTTAGCATGCTTTCCAGATGTAGTAAAGTTTGGTTTGGAGTTCAAGAAAGCTTTTGCTTTCTGGATATCCCTTCCTTAGTACTTAATCTCCCATAATTACCAATTACTCATAGTGTGAATAAAGAAAATGGTTGTGTGAATATCAAAAGGCTTCAGGAGAATTTCTCTGTTTTGTTTTGTTTTGAAGTAGTTTTGTTTCTCATCCAAGAAGCTTCTTCAGTTCAAGAGAGAACTGAGAACTGAAGAAGATTCTCAGATGAAAAGCGAAACGTCTTCAGTTGCTTTTTGACCTGGATGACCTGGATGACCGAGAATCAATATGGATGTTTTAGAATCATGTATCAGTGAACAATCGAGTCTCCTTCATTAACTGGGATCCTCCACCCTCGTGCATTCCATCCAGCAATTAAAAACCAAGTCTACTTGTAAAACACCCCTGATCCATGTAATAAAATTAATGCTTAATTTTCTAAACTTCACTTTCCTTTTTGTATTTCTGCATCTAGGTTAAGAAAAAAACTTTTTTTTTTATTTCAGTAAAAAAAAAGATGACACGATCAATCTCAATTTCTTATTATAAATACGTTTTTAAAATGTTGATCCTCTCGGTAAACAAACTTATATTGTTATTTCTTTTTGTGGGCTCTGTCGCTTAGAAAATCAGGATAAAAACCTCTATTAATGTATATCTGGTGGGCCTTGAGCATTCTTGTAGACTTTTTTCTTGTCCTCACTTGAGGGCGATGTTGCTCTTTAGAAGGATAGCGGAGGATAGCAAAACTCTTTCAAAGTTTGACCAAAACAAAGATTAGTTTTGACTGGGCTATTTTATATTTTAATTGCTGGTGCTAAAGTTCAGAAGTGGAAAGGTATAGGAACTAATCTCCACTAATAATTGAATTCAACTTTATTGGCAAACATGCCTGGCAGGATGAAACACAGTGTAAGTTAATAGCAGCCCCGTATTTTTAACTGAAGGCTAAGATGGATGTAGTTATCAAGGCACAAACCTTTGTATCTAAAACTTTCTTGTACGTCCTTGAAATCTCATGTAGGGAGTTCTGTATGTATGCTGCAATCTAAACTGTGTGGTACTTCTAGAATTCTTTGTCGCTTTCCGAAACAGAATAACAGAGTTTGGAAGGGACCTTGGAGATCATCTAGTCCAACCCACTGCTCAAGCACGAGGCCCTATACCATTTCAGTCAAATGGTTGTCCAGTCTCTTCTTAAAAGCTTCTAATGATGAAGCAGCCACAATTTCTGGAGGCAAGCTGCTCCACTGATTAATTGTTGTAACTACCAGGAAATTTCTTCACAGTTCTTGGTTGGTTTTCTCCTTGATTAGTCTCTATACATTGCTTCTTGTTCTGTTTTTAGGTTGACCCCCTCCTCCATGTAGTAGCCCCTTCAAATATTGGAACACTGCTATCATGTCATCACTAGATTAAAAAGGTTTTCTAAATTCAGGGATTCCTCATTTTATTGCCTGCCTTTGCTGGTCCTAATTGTCACTAAACAAGGATTACCCGTAGACTCGCATTTTGAAAGGCTGGAAAGAAAAATAAATAGACTTCTTGCACTATATGTCTACTTTTTCACTAAACCTTTTTTTGCCTTTGAGATTTAGCATAATTGAAAACCTGCGTGCAACTGTATTAATGTTTGACCTTCCATTTCTGCATGAATTCATTTTTGTGTAAAAAAAAGTGTGGACTAAAGTCAAAAATGGAAACTTAACTGTTCAGTTAAACAACATTTTGTTTTCAGTTTTTTTAAATTTAATTCTTCTTATTCCTGAGTAAGTTTGAGAGAAAATATTTAAAAATCAAGGAAAAATTTGAGGTTGGGGTGGAATGGGTAAAAAGATTTATACAACTCAGCTTCTGGAATTCTTTCCCATCTTTAAATCTAATTAAAAGTTACATGGCTAGGAAAAAAAAAATGAAGGCAGAACTTAGAATGGAGAGATAAAAATTTGAGCTACTGTCCAGTGTCCCTATAATAGAAATCTACAGCCCTGCTTCGATCCAGCCCATTTTGAAACTCAGAATTTCTTTGGCTGTTATTTTCCTCCATACTAAATTCGGTTCAGTTTTCAGAAAATAATTGTGCTTTTGAATAAATGGATGAAACCCTGAGACCCTTAACACAATTTCTTCCCAATATTTTTCAGAGTTGGACAGAAGGAAAAGAAAAATCAGAAAAATAAAAAAGAAGCACAATGTGTCAAGCTTAGCCCAAGAAAGACAAAGAAAATCCAGCTGAAGTTCAGTCTTTTATTTGCTTACATCCAGTAGACAGAATCTTGCCATACTAAACGTTTACTGCTCTCCCTCTAACGGATACATCCTGAGAGATTCTACAAACTGGCTGTCCTAACTTAGAATGCCTCTGCCTCCTATCCAGTTTTAGGTTGTGCTGCCTAATGTCTCATACTCCCTTTCTGGACTGTGCTCCTTATTTCCTGAGAAATTGTCGCTTCATGTAGTCCATCACACAATGTTTCTGCCTTTGCCCTCTTGAATAGTTGCTCAAATCTGTAACTAGGTTGGAAGTTTGTTTTGCAGGGGGTTTGAACTGCATGTAGTTTGATTTTGCTTTGTTTTGAAGTTGCATGAATTGTGCAGCTGCTATTGTGAGCAGCTGTGCAAATACAGTGGTGCCATTGTACGGTTGCATCTGCTTTTGAAGAAATCAGGAAGAGAAAGCAGACCATTCAGAAGTGATTTTTTAGATTCAATTTCCTCTCTCGATCCTTTCTGTGGTGCCTCGTGGTTAGGGGAAAGATTTTTGTTGTTGTTGTTGTTCACATGATTCCTGAAATGGAAACAATCAGTGATGGTACATGAAGTGCAAAACTAGGCGGTATGCAGCATTTGTGTTAAATTCTACTTTAGGTATGTCAGAAGGCAGACACATGCTGCAAAAAGAAAAATGAATCGGGATGCAGTCATTGGAACCAAAGTGGCAGATGTGATCACGTTTTTGGGATTAAAGGGGATCTGTGTAAATTGGTATTGGGGGTGAGATTATTAAAACTGGAAGTGAAGCTGAATTAGAAGTCTCGTTTCCTTTCCACATTCTTCTTCCCCAGTTGTGGTTGGCAGATCATTAAAAGTAGGGCGCAGGTAATATAAAACAAGAACTTTAGGAATAATAAATTTGATTATGACGGAAACAAAAATCTAAAACCGAGTAAAGTTTATGCTAAGTTGGTTTCTTGAGCTTCCCGGGTCCTTCCAGAGGTTGATGAAAAAAACTTATGAAATGTCGTATCTTCTGGCTGGATCACATTGTAGGGAATGTCTTTCTGAGCATCGTAAGGCGATTATCTTGCTGCATGTGTGATACACTTCTCTGAAAGGGGAGATTTTCATCAAGAACTGGGATGGTGCTTAGGCAAATAGCCATGAATAATTTCCGTACCTTGAAAATTTCTCCAGAGCAAATGCTAGGCAGCGTTTGTTCTTTATATGAGAAAGGAGTTTCGAAAGGACCAAGTTTGGCAAAACCATGCAGTTCAGGGTAAAATATTTTAAGAAGTGTTCTCTTGCCTTTAACATTGCTGGCATTTGGCTCCTGAAGCAACATTTTTAAAAATATAAGCAGTCCTCGAGTTACAACAGTTATTTAGTGCCCTTTCAAAGTTATAACAGTACTGAAAAAAGTGACTCATGAGAGTTTTTCACACTTACGACTGTTTGCAGCATCCCCATGGACATTTGATCAAAATTCAGATGCCTGACAACTGACTTGTATTTATGACGGTTGCAATATTCCTTGGGCCATGGAATCACCTTTTGCGGCCTTCTGACAAGCAATCGATGGGGAAGCCAGATTTGCTTAACAACCGAATTATTAACTTAACAACTGTGGTAAGAAAGATTGTAAAGAAAGGAGCAAAGTTCACTTAATAACTGTCTTGCTTAGCAACATAAATTTTGGGCTCGGTTGTGGTTGAGGACTTCCTGTATTTTAGTAACTTTAAACTCCTATTGGGTAGAATGCTAACTTTTGTGAATGAAATGTCAGCGTTCCAGCAACCCTCCATACCAACCAATAACTCCGAGACAGTCACCTCTCAAAGGTTCCTTTATTTGGATAGCAACTGGCACATCTGTGGAATCCTGAATCTGAAAGTTTCGGGCTTCCTTGCAAAAGTCAAAACTACAAATCCACCCCCCCCCCCCCCCCGCCCTTAGCCATCATCCAATCACATGGTCCAAAAGTAAGATTCCCATTTAATTATGCGCCACACTCCCGTGACCTTGAACCAGCAAAAGAATTT